TTAAATCAGCTCGTTTTTACAGCAATACATTTTTAAATCAAGTTTGTTTGTTGACAACAATCCATTTTAAATCAGCTCGTTTTTACAGCAATACATTTTTAAATCAAGTTTGTTTGTTGACAACAATCCATTTTAAATCAGCTCGTTTTTACAGCAATACATTTTTAAATCAGCTCATTTTTACAATACATTTTTAAATCAGCTCATTTTTTACTACAATACATTTTTAAATCAGCTCATTTTTTACAATACATTTTTAAATCAGCTCATTTTTTTACAACAATACATTTTTAAATCAGCTCGTTTTTTTACAACAATCCATTAAGTAATGATCCTATCATATGGTGTTCTTTATAATAAATAATTGTTTTGAATAAGATAAAATATAATAGATGGGCGATAGAGAAACAGTGGTACAGTTTAGAAGGAACCACTTGGTCATGGTAACCGTGATAAGATTTAATTTCCCTTTCCTGCAAATGACTAGGACATATACGAGTACCACAGTAACAGATAACAGACATATATAACCAGCATGATTTAAGTTCATCTTTCATGATTAAGCAATATATACACGTGTAGAAAAAGAAAACATTACAATGATTGATTAAAAATTACTCTCTGAAGCGCCGGACGAACCTTCACCTGTCATGGCCACACACGTGTCCCCAACTAGAGGGGTTGGAGTTTTAGAAGAAAGGGCTCTACGTTTGTTTGTTTTTGTTGTGTACCTAAACACAAACGTGGCACTGGGAGAGTTGTTAATCTGTAATTATAGCAGTGAAAGAATTGATGAAAACCTATGGATTACATAACGGTAATGAGAAAGCCGAAACACATCCACAGATGTTAAAGTGTTCAGATGAGGTTAAACACCTGAATAAATTTGTTATCGTAGGGGTTCCTTTTTAAGATCGGTAATATTGTCCGAACACCGGCAAATACTCCGTTTTTGTGTTGTTGTTGTTTTTTTCCACAGACGTAATCACCCACAATTAGGCCTTAAAAAATGGGGAGCGACAAATACGTTTTTGCTAGTATTGCATATTTTTAACTTGAACAACAAACACCTTGTGCTGTGGACGTATTAAGTTTTATCTTTTTCTTGTTCGCGTTTACATTTTATCGTAAACAAAAAATTAACGCATGCCATTTGTGATTGAAGCCTGGCATAGCGCTCGACTCGCAATCTGAGGGTCGCGGGTTCGAAAATCCGTCGCCGAACATGCTCGCCCTCTCGCATTGTAATGTGTCAGTCAATTCCACTATTCGTTGGCAAAGAGCAGTCCAAGAATTGGCGGTGTTGATTAGCTGCCTTCCCTTCCTTCTAGTCTATCACTTCTAAATTAAGGACGGCTAGCGCAGATAGCCCTCGAGTAGCTTTGCGCGAAATTCAGCATACAGTATATAACGAACAAGATTTGAGCATCTATTTCTGTAGATGCTGACTTCTAATGTTGTTGTTGTTGTTGTATAAAATACATAAAACAGCAGAAGGTAACAGTATAGTTACGACAAAGAAGCTGGAGAAAAAAAATATAGTTTTATTTCATTTGTAACATTATATACGAAATATTTTTGCCTGGGTAACGAGCTTATATTGGGGCCTTAATTCATTTTATCGCTTAAAAGCACGATTGTTTTTGCTTAAGGGCAAAACAATGCTGTGCCCACTGTATGAATCGAACTCCGAAAATTAGCAATATAAGCCCTTAAGCTTACCACTGCACCGTTGACGTGGAAACAACAGAAGCTTCACAGGCTTTATTGCTGTTACGATTCATATTTATTAAATTTGGAAGAAAAAAAAATATATTTTTATATACTTGCACAGCCAGGGTTATTAATAAATATTATGATTTTTGATAGAGCTTATTAGCATATACTGGAATATCTCCTCTCGCCAACAAACAGAGAAATTAAGTAAATAATTTATATCCGACGAACAACGAAAAACGTTATTATAGCTATCAGTGCAGTTGTAGTTAAGGCAAGCTTTGTCATCTTACATCAATACTTGTTTCACACATTTTTTTTTTCACTTTACTTTCTTTGAATTGAATAAAATAAAGAATTTAACAGCGTTCTATTTTTTCATCCTAAACCAATCGATATGGCTATAACATAAAAACATATTATTGTTAGTAATACAACGTTTAGTGTCACCTAGCAACATACAGCATTGTCTGGAAATAAAACGTTTAGTGTCACCTAGCAACATACAGCATTGTCTAGAAATGTGTTTTCTGTCTCTTGGCAACATACAGTTTTGTCTTCAAATTTAATATCCACTAAAGTAATTTCTTTTTGGAAATTGACATTAATGAATCAGCGTTTACTGTCGACAAAAGTATTACTGCATCTTTGTGAAAAGTTACGTTGTCTTATGACACGTGTCAGTTAACGGCATTCATCGTTTATCAGTTTATATACTTATTGTAAAGCGCTCAGTATTTCGAAATCAAAGCGTAATTGTAAATATATTATTTCATTTTTGATCATTTAGAGAAACAATTCGTCAAATTGTACAAGCTATTTTTGTTGTTTAAGACTCAGAACGTAGGTAAATTAATATGTAGAATTATACACGGACTTTTCTATACGTTAAAATACTTTTATTTGTACATTGTTGCCCGTTGTATATTGTACATTGTTGCCCGAGGAAGGTTCCGTTAAAAGAGCCGAAAGCTTGCAAATACATTGTACATTGTTGCCCGATGAAGGTTCCGTTAAAAGAGCCGAAAGCTTGCAAATACATTGTACATTGTTGCCCGATGAAGGTTCCGTTAAAAGAGTCGAAAGCTCGCAAATAAAATTATTTTAACGTAGAGAAAAGTCCGTGTATAATTCTACATCCTAGCTATTTAATGAAATACTTATTTAGGCTTATTAAAGAAAGTGTAAACTACTTGTATGAAACGGGATCTGAATGAAACATTTAATAAAACTTAGGAAAGGATTGGAAATTTATTTTTGTTACAGGACGGACGTATTTTAATCTTTTATTCTTTTTATTCAGTATTAAAATTCTATGCTTACCTGAAATATCCAACTCATAGCAAGTTATTATTTAAGGATGTGTTGATGTTTTTAATTGAAAACATGCGATTTTGTTTTATAATATTTAATATTATTGTTGAGGCACTAACCGGATTGAAGAGAAGGATTTTGTAATCTTAAGGCATTCTCCACTTTTCTGAAATGATGACCGACTCAATCCGGTTGTGTCCATTAAGCTCGCCACACCACGATGGCGCCACGTTCGTCTGCTGTGTATAGCCTGCCTTGGGACCCTGGGGTGGCCCTGATTGGATTGGAAATCCGTATTCGGCTTTGATTAAAAAATAAAATGTCATTGAATTAAGATTATATATATATATATATAGAAATAAATAAAATTTGGAACCGTGCTGTCGGCAGACGGAATTGGCCTTGAATGGTGTGGTAGGCCATTCCAAAAATTTAAAAGGTGTTGTTTTAACAAGATAACCTCACTGATTATGTTTTCCCGTCTCATCTGTGCTTTTCCAGATTTTTGGTTCCAAGGCAGACTTGCAGCTACACACTCAGATTCATATGCGTGAGGCCAAACCCTACAAGTGTTCCCAATGCTCCAAGGCCTTTGCCAACTCTTCTTACCTGTCCCAGCACACGCGAATCCACCTGGGGATCAAGCCATACCGCTGTGAGATCTGCCAGCGAAAATTCACTCAACTGTCCCACCTGCAACAGCACATCCGGACCCACACCGGGGACAAGCCGTACAAGTGTCGTCATCCTGGTTGCAACAAGGCCTTCAGTCAGCTTTCCAATCTCCAATCCCATTCCCGTTGCCACCAAACTGACAAGCCCTACAAGTGTAACAGCTGCTACAAGTGTTTCACTGATGAGACAAGTCTTCTGGAGCACATCCCTAAACATAAGGAATCCAAACACCTGAAAACCCACATCTGTCAATACTGTGGAAAATCCTACACCCAGGAATCTTATCTAGCCAAGCATATGCAGAAGCATGCAGACAGGATGGACAAGAGGTCTCAAATGGTCCTCGGTAGCAACACCTCCACAACACCTCCGACGCCTGTGGCCCGGACTCACGTGGATAACTTCTGGTCAAAAAACATCGTTTCTTCGCCAGGACCAGAAAACACATACTCAGAGAACTCTTCTGTAGGTCTTTCAGCCGCTGCATCTGTGATTGCTCATCACAGTGCCCATCCGCACGTCCAAGACACGTGCCTCCAGTCGCCCCTTGGAGACCATCCTCGTCTTCATCTAGCGTCCCGAGATTTAGACCACAGGCAATCTCTTGGAAGCGGAGGGAATGGAAACACCACATCCAACAACCACAATCCACGTGAGCATTCAGACATGGTGCACACAGGTCACCTTGGATCCCCTCAGCTTCAGTATGATGGCGGTGCAATGTCTGTATCTAATAGCAAAACAACATCAGCCTTCACCCCCATCCAGTCTGGAATGCTGCCAATCTCTTCGGGATCGCAGTTATCTCTAGCAGGGTCATCACGGTCATATTTCCCGTACGAACCTGTTAATTTTCCCAAACCTTCTTCACAGATGAGTTCCATGGACCTAAAACCCGCTCATAACTCGTTTCCCAATCAATTGATCTCTTTACATCAAATAAGAAATTACGCGTCCATGCCATCAATGGCCGGAACAGAACATCCGATTACTCTCAAAGACAAGAGTCAACCATAGTTGATGGAATTTACGTCTATTGTGTGTATTTTAATTTTTTTTACACATTTTACAGTAGACACCGTTTTTAAAATTGTGGTATATGGTTGTTTTTTCTTCGATTTGAAAACAAAAAAAAAACTTATAGAATGAGGTAAGGGTGGGTTAGTTTTATCTCGTTAAAGACAAACCTTGAAGATTGGAATAAATTGCCTGATGTGCAATAAGAGTACATGGGCTTTGACACCGGTGAAGAAATTCTTATGTAGTTGGACGTGTCTGAACTGCTGTCTGGCTACATAGTGGTAGACAGCAAGATTGAAAACAAGAACAACAAAACTTCCGCTAATATATCTTAGGATTCTTAAGAAGAGAACTAGCAGGAATGGTATATAAAGCAAACCGTGGGTTGAGCTTTCTGTTACTGTTATTAATTTTGGTACAAAACCTTATTCCAGTTAAAGTTTGTTGCAGAACTCCAAATTCATGCTAGGATTGTCCTCGCTGTAACAGATGGACTTTTCTGTGTTCTGCTGTCATGGTAACGTACTTCTGATGATAGACTAGTGTGTATATGATTTGTAACCATGGTAACTAGTTGAGCAATAGATGACATCATCTCATATTTGTGCCTTTTGATATATAGTTTCAGTTTCACGTAAAGATATATGTATAACCATATAACCGTATGCTTAACAAAGTTTAGAGTTATATATATATAACATATGAATTAAAACACTTCTTTTGTGTTAGTGTTACAGAGAGAAAATGTAGGCCTAAGAAAGAGTCAGTTATCATAGCTTATAAAGTGTCTGTTGTGATAATTAGCCCGTCATTACTATGGAACTATTTTATGCTTTGGTTAAAAATACATGTACATAGATACACACATAAAACAAGTACCAGTGTTTACGTTATTAATAAACATGGGAAAAATGAGGTCAGGTATAGTTACGAAACGTAATAAGTTGAAGAAAGGTAACTGATTGACCTTCGAAACAAATCTGTCATGAGAGAGGGGAGTTAATAAAAAGAAATTATGATATTTGAGATTAAAAAAATAGTACAAGATTCGCAAGAACCTTTCCTCAGATATCAGATGATACGTGTCTGAACATTATTTTCGTGTGAAAAAAAAAGTTAAGATAACGGAATTAGTAAAGTTCCGTGCGCATCTTTATTGCTCAAAACGGTTTACATTTCATAAGTCAATTATTTCTTGTAATATACAAACCATCCCTTCTTTTGTAATTAACACTAAATAGTACTAGTTCAAGAGAAGTTTCTTGTGCCCTTTTCACATTCTTTTTTTTAAACTGTACTTCACTATTATGTAACATTACATGTTTGTATAAAAAAAGGTGTGTATTTACGTGTTTTTGCTGCCATAGTTACCGTAACAATAGCGCACATTGTAAGACGCCCCACGAGGAACTAAATTGTGGTTTTTAATTGTTGTATTAGTTTTAAAACTATTTATGTTTTTTAAGTTTTTTTTTAGAGGCTTAATATACATCATAAGCAAACACTGCCTGCTTATACAAGAAAATCCGTTAAATAAAACCTAAACCCTCATAAAAGACGGCCCCCTTTCGGTAGCTCAGCGATAAGTCTCAAGGCTTATAACACTAAAAATCGGGTTTCGATACCCACGGAGGGCACAGTGCAGATAGCCCATTGTATAGTTTTGTGTTTAATTAATAATAAAGAAACAACAACAAAAAAGTCGTAAAAGAAAAGAACATATATTTTTTATGTAGGTGTCGTTTCTATAGACAAATCCCGGTTTTTTTCCAAGCGTTGAGTAATTCGATTTGTAATTGTCATATTTAAAGTATGTGATTTGTTTTACAGTACTGCCAGTAAACTAAACTCGGTTATCATTATACGTATCCGTAAACAGAAATGATGTTGTTGGCTTAATTCAGATATACCCCCCACTTTTTACACATATCTGCATTAGATTTATTATTTAAATAAATGCACGATTTTATCTGAGAGATTATAAGCTACAACACAACACACATAATGTAATTTAAAAACCAAATTTGCAAGGTTTTCTCTGCAGAGTGAGGATCGCATTTTTCAGGCAAAGAAGACAACTATATAATCCTATGAACGCTTGAGGACATAAAAAAGAGGACTTTTTACAAAATATTAACTTACTTTAAACAGCTGAAAATAATTTGATTTTAATACTTAACGAATATTGAAAGTTTGAATTCTAAAAAAAAAAAAATTAAGTGACTGAATGCGCAAGATTACTTCATTTATAGCAAAATGTTGCAAAAACATTTTTATACCATCACCACCCAATCCAACCACACACTTATGACTGTAGCCTATTAATATTTTATTGCTTCCTACGTCTATGTCACAGACATAGACGAAAAAAAACAACTACTTTTGTACTATAATTTCCCCGAAAGGGGGCCGAAGGCCACCTGTTTTAAACACTCGCACCACAGTAGCGTGTTGTCTGTCAGTCAGTCAGTAGACACTAAATTGACGTCACATGAGGGACGATTAACGTTGCAATTTGTACTGTCGTGACGTCAGTAAAATGTGCGCATGTCATGAATCACAAGAAGAATTACACACTCTGTACGCTACAACACAACATGGCATACGAACTTCAAAAGCAAGAAATAACAATGATCGTTACTCATAATTTTGGTTTAATTTACTCTTGAAACAGAACACTTTCGGGGAACCGGCGCAACTACAACTAGTATAATATTCCTGATGCGTGTAGCTTTATTATCTGAATTTTTTCCACTATTATGATAATATACAGCTTTAAATGCAGGTATTAATTCCCGCTTTGTAGCCACTTCTGATTGGTTGGGGCTACGTCACTATATCTTCTGGGTAGATTTAATTTAAAAACATCAAAAGATACAGAATATTTTCAAGTCTATCTCGTACACAATTAAGGATTAGAAGTTAATTTATCTTTTGTTGTGATCTACGATTTACACGGGAGTGTGTCGAAGTGCAATCTCTAGTTAGGCTATAGTTACAGATGTGATCAAAGAAATACGTACTTCGGGTTTCTCAAGTTCTAGTTTGTTTTTTTAACTTTTGGAGTATGAAATTTCTATAGGACATTCTCAAATAAGCTGGAGCAATGAAGATAGTTTTCATACTGTTAGTTGTTGTTTTCCTTTTATTTTAACATCAAATTTTAGGACATTTATAACCTCAAATGGGCCCGAAAAGTGTGGAATATTTTACCACCAAGAACAAAGGGTATTTCTCCTTCAAACTACCCAGGGATTACCAGATTCAAATAATCAATGAGGTACGAAAACACCTGGCACTGGGAGAGTTGTTTATCTGTACACGTTACAACGAGATAGATAAACTTTAGGTATTTCAGTACACAAATCCTTATACAGCTACACTGTGTTTTAATCTCACAGTTTGTTGTATATCGTAAAAATGAACTGTTTCGCCTTCTTAGCTTAGTAAGGGAATGCATTATTGTAAAAGTTATGCTTAGGTTTTATGAATGCATATTCTATTATGTTTGCCGGTTGTGTGTGTGTGTGTGTGTAAGGGATGGGGATCTGCGATTTCACCCCCTCAATTGTACCCATAGGTAAAACGTATTTACAAAGCGTAAACAAATAACAAAAAAAAAAACTTCAGGCAACATTGAAATGCGCCATTTTCAGCGAAAACAAACAAATGTTTCCCCTTTCCTCCCCTATATAGATTTCTGCTCCCCACCTCCTCCCGAGTTTTAGGGGTGGTTAATAAATCTTGATAAAAGGGCTTGAAATTTCTGAGGATCTCCATGTACACTTCATCCCCCACGTAATAATTCTCTTGAAGAGAACGACTCTCATAAAATGGAATGCAAATAAGAAAAACCTACAGAACTACGAAAAGATCAGTTAATGAAGAAAAAAAAGGCTACGCTACACACATTTACGTATTTAGATTGATGCGTGTATATACATAAACTTTTTATAGGAACTTTCTTGTCATATGCGATAATAATGGCGGCAGGAACTTCAAACCTTGATATTACAATATTCAAGTGACTGTTCACATGCACCTTAATCACGAAGAAAGGTTCCGCTTCATTGGAAGGGGGGATCTGTATTCATACACATTTTACAGGTTATGGAAAATCTAACATAACTATGTTTATAGTTTATCGGATTTTTAGTATATGGTTAACAGATAACTAAATACTGAAGATATTAAAAGTTAATGAAGTCATAATATTTAATGGTAGACTTCGAAACAGCGAGGATTTTACCTGCTTAATTAAAGTTTGTGGGGAAAAAAAAACGTTCTGCACTGCTATGACGTGTGTATATATACGAAAATTAAAATCTAAACCGTTGAGGTGATAAATATAAACAGTGTATACAGTTATCACTGTCTAAAATTATTTAGTTTTTGGGTGGCCCCCCGAGCATCAAATGCGTAGTAGCGTAGACTATGCAGTTTACGTATTGCACTGCGTGTGAATAGTTTGATTACATAACTAAATCGGTGGATGAGATGTGCATGCGATACTGTTAAACAATGCGTTTGTTTGTTGTTGTTTAGTTGTTGTTGTTTTTTTGGGGGGAGGGGGGTCTTGTTTATTAGTAATTGCACAGAAATGATTTATAGCTATAATATAAACGTGGTTTTTGTTCCTTCACGTAGCAGTCTAATTTTACACTCATTTTTTGAAAGGTTCGTTTGTTTAGAACTATTCTGATTAGTGGTGTAATCTTTGATTTAATTTCACAAATGATAGTACCAAATCTGATGTTATCAAGAGGCTACACATCAAGGAAAACATCTGTCTTAGTTTCAGTTTCCAAGTGTTCACGTGATCAGGCACCTACCTAAGCATTAAAACCGTACTGCACGATGTTTTAACCTGAAACTGAACAGCTTAAACGACAACCGAACAAATCACCGTTTCTAAAAGATAATATTGGAATAGATCATCTAGTACCTGACTCAGTAACGAAAGAGTACAAGTAAATCACTGTCATCTTGTTACAAAGTAATATTGTTATATTTTTTCTACGACACTCGATTATCACTTTTTAAATATACCTGAACGTTTGTCTTTAAGATTCCCTAATTCATTGTCAAAAATAATCTTAGGAGGATATTTCATTTTTTGAAAATTGCATCACGTTAATCAAGCCATTGAAGATATTTTTTTAAACAAATCTTGGTTCAGGATGAAACATAGATGAATGAACGGCAGCTACCTGTTGTAAAAACACGAGTGTAGAGGATGACGTTTCGAAAGTCTTCCGCCTTTCGTCTTCACCTGAACACTTTCGAAACGTCGTCCTCTACACTTATGTTTCTACAACAGGCAGCTGCCGTTCATTCATCTGTGTTTCGTCAGGAATACTCTGTCTAAACAATCTATCACAGAAAATTTTGGTTCAGTATTTTCTTTTTCCATGCTGTCAACAGATGGCATTTTACCTCAGTATTTGTTATAGATTTTTAAAAACGATTAGACATTCACGTTTAGGTACAGATATCTTTGGTTTCAATTGAAATCTTCAAATTATTTACTATGAGAAAAACGAACTGAATGCCGTTAATTTTAGTGCACCCTATATGTTATGATTCGGGTGCGTTAACACCTTCTGTTATTTTTACCCTTTAAATATACCACTGGTAACGAAGATCATATTTAATTCTGTTTCTCCGATTGGAGTATTAGACATCCTAAAACGTTTTTTTTTTAGGTTTGTTCTGATTTTCCTTTGCAACAAATGACTTTTGTAAGTAAAATTAAGGCATCTTTCAGGTAGCAATTACACTAAAGCACCCAGTTTATTTACACTCCCTTCTTTATATACCCCCAGTGGCACAGCGGTATGTCTGTAGACTTTACAACGCTAGAAACCGGGTTTCCATATCCTTGGTGGTCAGGGCATAGTGTAGCTTTGTGCTTAATTATAAACAAACACTTCTTTATATGGAAACAGTTTTTATTCATGCTTAGTTTAGAACCCATTGATATTTTTAATGTAGGATATTTGTTTATCGCGGTAACAAAAAAAAGAATAAGTTATTTTACGAAAACTTGTATGGAAAATGGAAAAAAGTCTCGTGATTATCATATTAGAAAACTTACCCGTTTTATTATATTTTTTTTAAGAGGTGTAAAATTTGTTCCGATTAAAAAATGAATTAAGAAGAGAACAGGAAGGAAACAAAAAAGGCTTATCATCCTTGTTGGGTGACGAACATCATATTAAAAGACAGTTTTACAATTTAACTAATTGAGCTGAAAAGACAATTTCTGGTAATTAGGCTTTCCGACTAGCGGTGATAACTGATATTAGTAGAAAATATCCATACACTAATTTCGAGGTGTGATATTACCTTCCACAACTGGTCAGATTACCAACTTGCAATCGTTGTAATTTTACACGAAAGAAGTGTTAGAAAATGAACTATATAAAGGTAGTGTTAGTTTTGTAGATATTGAAACAGTCACGTGATCTTAACTTTCTTTAAATTGTATTTTACTTGCTTCAAAATGTCATTCCATTAAGAAAACATTAGCATCGTATTTCTAACATTGTAATTATCTTTCCAAACTTATAGTGAGTACCTGACTTATCAAACACGGATATGACAATGATTGCTACATTATGTAACGTTCAGTAGTTAAAAGTAATTCAGTAAATGCGAGTCTAACCCTTTTTTTTTTGATCATCACAGGATTAATGTAATTCAGAACTTTATTCGAGCAAAAAGCTTATAAGCAAATTAGAAAACGGACTTCTTTAGTTTTCTGTAGTTTAGAACCCTACTTTAAAAACAAATCATCTAACTAGTTTAGGATGTAGTTCGCTTGGAGTTTAAAAAAACGGCAGTTTTGATTGAGAAAGTTCTTAAAAATCCATTTTAAAATGCTAAAGTTGCAGAAGTCCCTAAAATTAGCAATGAAATAATTTGATTTTTATCTTCAAATTGCAAGTATCTTATCGGTTTGATCAATCCTATCGTAAACGGCAGCTTTATCATGGTTGACTCTTTCAAAACTTAATCCATACACTCTTATCTGAAAGCAGAAAATGGTGAGCATGGAGCTTTTATTTTTGCACTTGTAAGTCTACATTAAAAATCTTTTGTTAACTTTAGATGAGATATATTTATAGCAGGTAAAATTAATCATGAATCTTACCATCATATATTGTGTATGTATTATTATTATCCTCGGAAAACCTTAAAATTATCAACACAACTATATTACGTACACCCATCCACCCAGTCAGAACATGAGCAGTTTCACAAGCTTCGGTTTAATAAGCCTTCACGAAACGGAGAAATTATTGATTACGCTGCTTGTCCAATATTAGACGCTGTTCTTGTTCGTCAATAAATACACTCACAGTTTATTTAAAGCACTCCGGATTATTACTCTTTTTACACGTTTTTTATCTTTCTCCAAATTTGACAGAGCAAAAACGAACTGAACCAATTTGTAAAAAACAAAAAAAACAACAACAAACGTTAACTGATATTCTTGTATTTCAGGGCTGGAGCGACACATTATCGCTTTGTTTTTTAATAATTCCTAATGGTAATTATTGTTTTAAGTCGAATTTCTTGCTCAAAGTAAGATGAAGGGTAGAAATGGCTAAATGAACGCACTTAAATAAAGCTGTGATAACCGAAGAAAGGGTTTTCTAATTACAAACACTGTCGAGTCAAATGAAATATAATGATATACTTTGCATTCATTAAAGCAGTATTAGCTTCTAAAAAGCTACGGTTCTATATGGAGGTTAAAGGTCATGTTTAAAGCTATTAAAGGTCGTGTTTGAAGATGGAAAAGTTTGATGCTTTTTTGTACAATATATTCTTAGTCTTTTTTGAGATGATTAGGAAACTTTTTAATATCCCGTGTGAAACATTTAGAGATGATAATTTTTAAAAATCGACGGGTTTCGAACGTCGGTTAGTCAAGGGAGAAAAATAAAAAATGGCGTAACCCTTGAACGTCTTGAACTGATTGACCCGTGTAAATGCGTGTAGTTTTGTATTAAATCTGTTGTGTGTGTGTGTGTAGCAATTGTCCGAACGACGACGCTTTCTTCCTGAAGAAATATGTCACTCTTTATTGTTTTTGTTTTCTTAAAGAAAGATCCAGTCAAATTGTTAAAAGGCTTTGAAAGACTGGTTACCCTATGGGGTGAGTGAAATGCGCATGTTGTGACGTAATTTTAATACTTGGTTCTATTGTAAACTGAGCCAGTCATGTTTGAAATCTGTTGTTGTTTGTTTTTTTTTGTTTCATTAACTTTTATTCCTGGAAAATGGCAACTGACAAAAAAAAAAGAGAGCTTTTCAATGCCCTCTGGCGGACTTTCCGCTTAATTCAAATACCAAGAAATAAATTAAAAAACAAAAATAGAACGGTTTTGTTGTAAGACAAGGTATATTGTTAACACAATTATTGTGTGATCATTTTGTCGCTGTATACTGTCAGTGAATCGCTTGTGTTGCTTTAATAAAGTTATGCTTTGGGAACCACCTTTGTGATTTGCTTTATTTCTCAACCAATAATAGAAGTATAGCTTGTTTCTCAACCAATAATAGACGGATAACTTGTGTGGAATATAATGTACAGAATTATGAATACACGAGACTACCGTGAACTCCAAGGGATCATTCGTTCGAAGTTTTCTTTATGTACTCAAGTTATCGATAACTTATTAATTAATAACAGCAAGTTCTAATTTTAATGAATACAACGTCTCGACTCTTAGTACCCGAATATGTCCCGATACTATGGGTCGAAGCGTTGTAATCATTGCAATAAGAACTTCTCCGCTTTAAAAGTTTTGAATTAATTAATAAGTCCACTGGGTTCCTCGCTAAACATATTGATAACTTAAATAACATTGTTCGCCTCTAGCTACATTAGGTACAACACTCCCGATGGGAAAGTTTAACAATGATTCAAAAACAATATTTGTATTGTTGAGAATAACGTTTTGATAAGAAATAATGATAAAAGTTTGGGCTTTAGGCTTATTATGGGTTACAATGACTGCAGCCCTTTATCTAGTAGGGCGATTTTTAGTGGGACCACACAGACCTAAAGCCCTTTGTTTTCTTTTTAGAAAAAACAGACACACAAACAACAGCTGTAAGCTTTTTAAATATGTTACTGTATTCAAAAGCTCCCATTAACGAAAGAGAATATGAAAAAAACTCATTATTCTAAAATACGAAAACTAATTATTAACCAAATGTTTTTTTTTTTATTTATTTATTTAGAAAAATAGCCGCCCACAGTTGCTATGTGGCAATTCTGAAGGCTTATAACTCTACAACCCGGGTTTTGAAACCAGTGGTAGGTACAGCACATATCATGCCATGATAAGCTGAACGCTATCGTTAGACTCCCCTCTAACGTCCCCCCGCCGACGGGTTACGGTACGTTTCCAGACTTACAATGCTAAAATTTGAGATTCGATTCCCCGCGATGGACACAACACACATAACCCATTGTAAACAGCTTTGCATTAAAAAAAAACACGTTTGTCAGTGATGTTCACCTTATGGAAAAACTATTGTATCATATATACCATGTTGACACGTAAAGAAAGATTATTGTGTCACGCCAGAACACGAATCCACCAAACTTTAGTGACACGGACTCTGTGAAGTTGTGTCACCTCATGTCCCCTTCAGTGTAATCTTACACGGTGTAAGCGTATTCAAAATATATAAATGTACACGCCGTGTTAAGACTTTTTTCACTCTTAAATCAACAAGGGACTGCTATAATGTATAGCATTTAGTATAATTTAAACGCATTTAAGAATATTAATATGCCGCCATAACAACCAGTGCATAAAATACAAGCTTTACTTATCATAAGACATTAGCATTAGGCCTATTACATTTTTAAAGTACATTCTAAATATAGTCACTTCACGATTTTAAAGGATTAGAAGAATGTATAACAGTATTCCAAACCACACTATATTTGACACATCCATTGCCGACGACGCGTTTCGTTCAATCCAGAGCCATTCACAGCAATGGTCGGAACACTATTTATATAAAGCTTTAATAAATGGTGGTGAATAAACTGGTACGTCTAAATGAAAACTTTTTATAATTTATCTTGTGCGACGTTTCGAGCTGACGCCATTCGTCAAGGTTGTGAAGACTGTGTTACAAAGGAATTAGGCTTAAGAAATTATCATCATTTATCGAAATGTTCCTTCTCACGTCTTACGGAACAACCCTCGTTCAAGAACTATTTACTTAAGCCATGTGATACATTTGTAAGAGTAAAAAAGTAGTTTCTTTCTATTGATTGTTTTGACAAATACCAGAAAATTCACGACTGAAGAGTATTTGATACACTACTTGCAAGTTATATCAAAAACTAATTCAACTTATGTTACGTCATATTTCATCGCATCAAATCCTGTTCTGATAATGAGTCCAATGTGTGCAACGTCACGCTCTGTTGTTTCACATTGTATCACTCCACCACGCATTTCTAAATTATTGTACTGAATAGTCTTAACTAGTATCAAAGACAGGACTGTAACGACGACAACGATTAAAGTTTAAGAGAAACTCTACTAAATATTTTTAATTTGCTATCGAAAAAAGAAATATGTAATCACGTATTTGTAAAATCAGTTTATAACATTCTCAAAAAATACCAAGATCTTATATCGAAAATAAAAATTACTGTTTACACATCTGTCCAAGTGAATAATGAGTAAAGACACGTATTTAGAGACGCTTCATAGTTTTTCTTCACGCTGCCCTCTGTATCAACAGCACATTTAAACTGAAAGTTTAAAAGGGTGCATGCAGTCAACATTGTGTGTAAAACAAGATAAATTCTAAGCTGTGATGAAAAACGTTGAAGCTGTGAAAATCACTAAACTTATTGTTTTGATTAAATGCAGGTGATTTTGATCACAAATTAAAAGCCCAAAGAAAGCTTCTACTGTTTCGAAAGCTCGCGTCATTGTTTAGTATTGTAAATGTAACACTAACAGGACATATCAGTTCATAATTATTAGTGAAATGTAAACCGTATGATCTGACGAAGAGCGCTAGCTCGAAACGTAATCATTCTTTAAATAAAAAATATATACAAACTTGGCGACTGTTCAATCTATTATATAATTCTGAAGCAATAATACCCTGTTTGATATAATTATTATTACACGTCCCAACAAATTACACCATTTATTGCAAGTTTTTCTAAATAATTCGTGTCTCTCCTATAATAATTAATTCTATTTAAGTTTTTATACATAACAACTTAGAAAATGTCTGTAGTTTGTAAGAAATTCTTAAGGGTGTATTTATCTCCATAGGGTATATAACATTACTTGCAAAAAAAAAACAACCAAAAAACATCTTATATTAGTAAAAGTAAAAACAAGAAAGATCACAGGCTGAATAAAAAAAAAACAAAAAAGAAACCTATTAGAATTTCACGCGGTAAATGCCTACTGCTTCTATGGTTTATACTTCCTTGATACTGATAGTGGTGTGAAATGTATGATTTATACACACAAGTACAGAATTTAATTAATAAAAGTGCAATATTGATTGTGGGTGTATGGCGTCAAATTCTTACACACAAATAGTTTGTTTGTTTAGAGCAATGCCACTTTGAGCTATTTGTTGTGTCCACCACGAGGAATCCAACCCCGGATTTTAGCCTTGTAAGTCCGTAAACTTACCGCTGTTAAAACTAAACACAAATAATATTGATTGTGGGTGTACGGTGTAAAATTCATGCACAAACACTGAATTTCAGAAATTAAAGTTTTATCTTTTTTACATATCTATGTTCTAAAAGCTTCCTTCTAGTTGAAAACACACACCACTGAGCACCTTTATAAGGTAAATAACTCACTCACATTCTACTAGCTTGAATCTTAAAGTTTTGCTTTGATCTTTAACATAAGCTAAAATTAACTCTTAACCTCAAGAGCAGATTTCGAAACTAGGTCAAGTAATTACCGGAATTAGACGTTTCAATTTACTATATCGTAAAATCTGAACATTTGCATTATCATGTGAGATTCTGTTGTTACAGTATCGAAATACCTTAAGAACGCTAATATGCAGCGTAAGAAAGACCTTTTGACAAAGTTGTTTGGAGAAGATATCTGCCGTGGCTTATTGGCCGATTAAACATAATGTTAAGAGTCTAATTGCTTAGATTAATTTCCCAGAAAAGAAAATGATAACTGCATTTATGAAATATCTATGCCCCCCCCCCTCCCACTAATGTTATACTGTACAAGTTCTCCAAAATTATGGGTTACTCTTTACCGACATATAATGAGATTGAACATCACATTATAACGCCCCACGACCGATAGTTTTATGAACATCAAATAAAAACTATGTGGAAACATGAGGTTTGCATAATTATGTAAACAGCTTTACAGATGTCGATATGGTACTCTATACTCTGTGCATAATACTGAGTTTTGGATAGTTTGTAGTTTTATAAAGGTTGGATTTCGCCACATTCAACCAGGCTGGACATCATATTCAAATACGGATCTTATGTACGGTTTATAAATTTTAAGGAAACACTTCTATTATTGCCAGCTAAACTTTCTTGATAGTCTATTATTTTTCAAACTTTGTTTTTGATGCTATTAATATGATTTGCCCAGGTGAATGTGATAAGTAAGACTATGAAATAATATATGTGAGGCAGGGTTCTGTAAAGGTACAGTTGTAGTGGGTTCTTGTTGGTATTCGGTGATTTGGTAAAAAATAACTGCGTATATTGTGCATTAATTTCGATTCTCCATTTGTTTTACCATTCTTCTATCGAGTTTAAAAGTCGTTGGAAGTTGTCGTACGAAGAAGTATTTGTGGATCTCTTCAAAAGCTCCACCTTCTTCAAAATTGATATACTGCTAACTGTCCCTCCTAGTGGGACACCTTCTTCAGGAGAAAAGAACTGTGAATCTATGCCTTCAATGTTTACTCTAATTTTTCGACCATCGAAAAAAGTTGGAAGGCCAGTGAATGGTATCCTTTGGTACATCCCGTTGAAACAATTGACACTATAAGCCGTTATGCCAAGTGTTACCATAAGTTTTTCTACGTCGAGAAAACGTACAATGAATTAACGTTATAACTTTCTGGTTTATCTGCTTTCATTCCTTCTTTATGGAACACGGTAACATTGGCTTGCTTCCAAGAGCTTCGTATATAACCGTACTTAAGGGATAAGTTAAATAAAGCTTTCAAGTGTTCACATAACCGCCGAGTACCATTTTTAATGACAATGATATAAATTTCGTTTTTTATGCGTTTATTTATTTATTTCATTGATATATCTGATGGTGATTGATTGTAATAGTTGATAAATAAGTGTGTTTTGTGTGTTTACCATTTGACTGTACTGATGATTAGTTTTGCTGTTTGGGGTCATTGTATGAGTTCATATTGTTTGAATCATTTTCAAATTTTTCATTAATTGTTGAAATGCTGCTGTTTTTTGTATTTCATTG